GCTGCCGGGGCCGCGGAGCACAGAGGGCCGCACGGAGGCGGGGCGGGAGGGAGCCACTGCGGGCCCGGATGGCGCGAGGGAGGGCGCGCTTTGCACCGGGCTGGGCGCCCGCGCCCCGCCAGTGCCCGGCGAGCCTCTTCCAGCCCGAGCCTCCTGGGGATGCCAGCTCGCGTGTGCGCGGCCCGTCCCGTGCCGCGATCTCCTCCCCAGCGACCCCCAGGCAGGCAGATTGTCCCACTTTCCAAAGGGGGAACAGAGTTCAGTGAAATCGAAATAACTTGGGGCGATGAGGTGAGTGCACGGGCTACGCTCAAAAGACCCCTGAGCTCAGTCCCTGGTCATCCCAGCACCGCCTTGGGTACCAGCCAGCATCCCCGGGGTCCGGCGAGAGCGGCGCGCCTACCTTTTCGCACTTCCCCCACTGTCTCTGGGGGCTGAGGCTGGCCCATCCGGCCAGAGGTCACGCCGTCTGCCCCGCCCCTCCACTCGGGCCCAGGTGACCTGCTCACAAACCCCAGAGAACGCCAGCCTCGTGTCTGGCAGACCATGTGTCTGTTTTCATTAGACAGCCTGAGCCTTGGACGATGCCCAAGCAGCCTCGCTCAGAGACACGGAACTTCTTGCGCTCTTACTGGGAGCCAGGCGTCCTGCTAGACAGTGGGGAGAAAGAGGCGTGAGCACAGACCTTCGAAGTAGACCACACACTGCACAGAGCTGCTCGCTCAGATGGGCGGTTTCAATATGAAAGCGACTGGGATGCACACCCACCCCCAATGGCCTACGCCCGTATCACTCCATCCACCCACACTCTCCTCTTCTGATGACTTCTCCCGCTGTGAATAGTTCTCTTCTAGGAACGAAGAGAAACGCCGCGGATTCCACGCGCTCCTTTCTGGTCCCTGAGCACCAGTTTGGTAGCTGGGTCCCTGCGAGCGGTGGCGGCTGCATTGGTCCATCATCCAATCAACCTTTTAAGTTATGGCGGTATTCGTATGGAAGGGCCCAAAGACTTTAATGTCTTCGCCGCCTAAATGTTTTCCCAAGAAACAACCAGTTGGAGTGGCCCCTGGTCGTCCAAGGGGCTACGGACTCAGAGGTTCCTCCCCAACAACGTCCCCTGGATCCGTTTCGCTGCCTGGCCTCTGGTGCACGCACCTGGACTTGATTGCTCTTGCCCTTAAACCTGCTATTCCTAATCTTAGAATCACTTTTTTAAAAATTATTTTTAGAAGTTTAAATAATGTCCCAGAAAAAAACACACACAGAGACACAAACTAACAGAATATCCTAATAGTGTCACCACCCCCAATGAACTCCCAATTGCATTTTGGCATATACTTCTCTTTTTTCTCTTTTCTTTCCTTTTTAAAAAATCCTCTTGCTAAAATGATACAGCATGTGCCCATTTAAAAAATAATAATAAAATAAACCATGCAGAAAGACACAAGTGAAAATCAAGGAAAATAAAAACCAATTCTATCAGGTAGAAAGAGCTTTCATGAATATTCAACAACCCCCAGAAGGCATCTTTTTAGGCTTCCTTCCATGCATAGACCTGAGTGAGTACAGGCTTATCAGCTAGCTAGCAGGAAATGCATTTATTTGAAGTGTTAATAAATGTATTGCTAACCAACTTAGAATCGCTACTTTAAAATGGAAAGGGCTTAGTTACCCCCTAATGGGAAAAGCAAGCTCACATGAAGCTGAAAATGCTGTTGCGATTTTAAATAACTATTGATTTATTACCTGAGAGGGATTGTTTCCAAGCTCAGCCAGCACTAGTTTGTTCAAAGGATGGGAAACCAGAAGACAGTGAAGCCGAGGGGGAAGGAGGGGAAGAAATTTGCTCTGTAGACATCTCTATTTAAAAGAACAGGCAACTCCTTCTTATAAAAGTTGCTATTACCTTGTTCCCCCCCTCCCCCAATTCCTCCCACTGGGTTTCTGTCTCCTCTTTCCATTCTGTAATTCCTGTGGTCACCCAGCATTGTGTCTGTAATTAAATAAATTCATGCTCACTACCTGCCTTCCCCTTCACTTCTGCTTCCTTTTCTCCTATAGTCATTCACTCTTCAGAGATTATGGAGCCCCTGTTAGGTCCCTGGAGTTGCATAGGAAGCCAGACAGCCAAGCTCCCTGCTCTTGTGAAGAAAAAACCCCAAGCAGATAAGCTCAATCATGGTGGCCTGTGAAAGATGCTAGGGAGCCAGGAAATGCTGGTGAAGAGCCAGAGAGGGAGACTCCACTCGTGCTAACCTGACTAAGGAGAGGTGGCCAGCCAGGCAAAGATAGGAGAAAATGTTCCAGGCAGAGGGAACAGCAAGGACTAGCAAGGCCAGGCCATCCATCATTCAGAACTAAGGCCTATTGAGTCAGACAGGCAAGACAATTGTAGTCATCATTGTATGTTGGGTCCGGAATCACATGTCTTGAACTCGCCATTATATCCCCAGCACCAGCTCAGGAACCATAGGCAGAAGCAAGGAGCAGCTGCATGAGGGGACATCGTGAGTCCTGTGATAGCAAGAGGAGAGGGGATGGGCGCCAGGTGCAGAGGAAGCACAAAAGTCGGCCTCTGCTTGGCAAAGGCTGAGAGGGTTTCCCAGGGGATGTGGAGCCCAAGCTGGAGCTTGAAAAATTGGTTGAGATTTGCCAGTTTGACAGAAAGGAGAATGGGGAGGCTTGGAGAAAAGGAATGGGACATACATGTGTCATGTTTGACAAATTGTGAGCAGTTCAGAATGGCCAGAGTTTAAACTCCCTGTTGGAAAGGTAGAGATAAGTTACGCGTAACAAAGAAAGGACGGCTCCTTTGGGGAAGGTCTTGAATTCCTGGATCCTGGCAGCCTTTGTCCTAAAGAGAGTCTGCATCCACGGAAGACCTGTGAGTAGTGTCTTCCTTATGAAGACCAACCTGGGCTGCCATGCCGGAAATAGATTTCAGCATGAAGAGGAGGCAACAGGAACCCTGGTGGGAAAATATCAGGTCAAAAAAATAAGGGCCCAGACTACAGCAGTGACCTTGGGTGTGAAGGGGAAGAGGTGGTTTCAAAGAACATCTAGGAGTACAAATCCATCAGATTGAGGGGTCTGCAGAAGAAGAGGGTTCCAACTCAAGCCTGATTCCAGATGTTTCAGGACCAGCAAGTAGAAGGTTGGTGGTCCTGCCCATTGAGATGGGGGACACAGGAGATGGATGCAGACAAGACTAAGGAATATGGCGGAGGGAGTGTGGGGTGGAAAGGGGGAACCAATTACAGGGATCTACATATAACCTCCTCCCTGGGGGACGGACAACAGAAAAGTGGGTGAAGAGAGACGTCGGACAGTGTAAGATATGACAAAATAATAATTTATAAATTATCAAGGCTTCATGCGGGAGGGGGAAGCAGGTAGAGGGGGGGAAATGAGGAGCTGATGCCAGGGGCTTAAGTGGAGAGCAAATGTTTTGAGAATGATGAGGGAAAGGAATGTACAAATGTGCTTTACGCAATTGATGGATTATGGATTATGATAAGAGTTGTATGAGCCCCCAATAAAATGATTTTTTTTAAAGACTAAGGAATATGATGCCTTTGATTGGGAACTGGTTGAGGTTAACAAGCTTTGGGGTGTTCCCGTGGAAGTCCAGTGGGTAGGTGGCTGGAGCTGTCTGGTACTCGGGAGGGAGATGTAAAATCACCAGTCATCAGGGAGATGTAAAATCACATGTCATAGGGGCTCGTGCATTGTGGGGTTTGTTTTGTTTTAAGTGAAGGAGTCAAAGATCAAATACTGGGAAATGAACATTGATGAGCAGGCAGAAGGCTGCTCCCATCAGAATTTTCTTTGCAAATCTACTTTGATGGTTTGTTCTCTGCTTTCCCCCTGACCTCACAGGTCTTACTAGAAGTTGTAACAAGCCCTACTGCTTCCTGAGGCTCTGAGCCTCAGCTTTTTCCTCTTTTCAATGCGGATGCAATGATTCGGTGCTATGAATTCTCCCTCTCCATAATTCTCAGAATAACTCTAAAATAAGGCTCCTTTCTTCCTTGTCTTGCAACGATCTAACTGATCCCTCTAGCTTCAATCATTTCCCCCTGGGTACCCTCTGAATATTCTCTCTTATAGTACAGCCCTCGCCCGCCACACCTTATGATTCTAGAAACCCAGTTATCTAACCACCCCAGTATTATGTTCGTGATTGGTGTCAAGTTGATTTTGACTCTTAATGATCCTGTGTGCAACAGAATAAAGCATTGCCAAGTCCTGTACCAGCCTCACTATGGTTGCTGTTTTTGAACCTGCTGTTGCAACCACGATGTCAATCCTTCACCTTGAGGGTCCTTCTTCTTCTTTTTGCTAATCTTCTACTTTACTGGTCCTTCTTCAGGGAGATCTCCACTGATAGCATGTCCAAAGTGCGTGAAAGCCTTGCTTCTGTGGAACTTTCTAGTGGTACTTTTTGCATCAATGTGCCCATTCTTCCAGCAGTCCATGTTATAGCTGTTACTCTTTGCAATCATCATAATTCAAATGTATAAATCTTCCTTATTTATTGTCCATCTTTCTCATGACATGAAACCATAAAAATACCATGACTTTGGTCAGTCACACCTTAATCTGAAAA